TATATCTGCATTAATCTCTTTTGTCTTAAATGAATACCATATTTTTGCAGATAAAAATCACAGAGAAAAAGTAGGAAGCCTGTGAGCTCCTCATGAAGCTTGTGTAAATGAGTTAAGCTGGGCTCCTGGCTACGCTTTCTTATTCCGCCACTTTCTATTGATTTATGTATTTATTTGAGATGCCGGGTATCTCACCCTGGCCTCACACATCCAGGCAGGAGCTCTTCCACCTCGGCGCACCTCGGCCCACCTCTAGTCCTCTGTCTTCCCAGTCCATACACCACATAGGTATTTTGTGTATTTGCATATATTTTGCCCACGCTGTACTTCTAGCTCTCAGTAACACATTCAGTGCTTTCAAATTTACTGACACGGAGAAAGCTGGGCGATGAGGCTTAAGCTACAGTTATAGACTTTCTTCGGTGACTGTTTCTCCTACAGCATCCAGCTCACAGAAATGCCGGCTGCCTCCAGAGCCCTGGGGTCTGAGCTGGACAACTGGAAGGTCACTTGCTCTGAAAAACAAATTTCGGGTTCTTTCCACTTCCCACTGGGCATCCTCATGCCGAGAAGGACAGCGTGATAGGAAGTTAGACAAGCATGTTAGAGCTCCGCTGGGCTTCAGAAGGAGCACGCAGTGAAGTGTCGTGCAGCACAGAGTGCTTCTTCCTTTACTTTTCTTCCTTCCCTTCCACATGGCTTTTACTTCTAGGCTCATGGTAAGCATCTGCGTGTTGGCACTGAACTGCCGTTTTCTTAGGTTAGTTGAGGGTGTGTGGTATAATAAAAACAGGAACAAAAGTAAACGCATTATTTTAAATGTTTTCCTCTCTTACCACTCAAATACAACGTCTAAGTGCACAGAAACATAGAACAAACGCCGCACTGTATCAGCCAGTTCTGAAAGGCTTAGAAAAATGCAGAATGAAACAGGTAGAAACACAGGTAGCATACTAATAGCAAGAGAAATACCTCATTTCTAAAATTTCAAAATGGTAAAATCATTGAAATACAAATACCATGCTGGGTGTGGTGGCGCACGCCTGTAATCCCAGCACTTGGGAGGCTGAGGCAGGAGGATCACTGTGAGTTAGAGATCAGCCTGGACTACATGGTCAGTTCCAGGTCAGTCTCAACTGTGTAGTGAGACCCTGTCTCAACGAAACCAAAAGGAAAAAAAAAAATACAAACACTGAGAAGGCCCAGGGACAACTGCTAAGGTTTGTTTCTCCTCCTTTGGTTGCCCAGGTTACCTTTTTCAGTCAGTATCATTCTGCTGTTGTCCTCTCAGATTCATCCCAAGGCAGAGCTCGTTAAACTTCATTAGGGAAATATTTAAATTAGTCCTGATCTTTTTGTTGATTGAGATTCAAATAGCAAAGCCATCTGGACAGTCATAGACGTCCTAATAT